TCTCTTCCTCCACATACTCCCATTTTATCAAAACAGCCTGGCTTCACGACAGATCAATGGCCAAAAAGTTGGCAAGCTTGATTTTCAAATTCTCACAAATCATAACCACTGCTACTACTGTACAGACAAATAATCCCCCAATATGTTGTCTTTTAACTTGCTCTACTCTATACTTCTCTATCTTTCTTTCTTTCTTTCTTTCTTTTTTCGAGACAGGGTTTCTCTGTATTGCTTTGGAGGCTGTCCTGGAACTTGCTCTGTAGATTAGGCTGGCCTCGAACTCGCAGAGATCTGCCTGCCTCTGCCTCCTGAGTGCTGGGATTAAAAGCATGTGCCACCAATGCCCGGCTACGTCTCTACTTTTTAATCTTAAAACTCCTTCATCTCAATGGGACAGACTTAACAGACTTTCTAGGGGAGGCCTTACTCTCTCCATGGAACAGATGGGAGGAGGGGGGATGTGGGGAGAGCAGGAGGAGAAGAGGGAGGGTGAACTGGGATTGGAAAGTAAAAAATTAATTTTAAAAATTAAAAAAAAAATCCTTCATCTCAGGCTGAAGAGATGGCTTAGTGGTTAAGAACACTAGTTGCTCTTCCAGAGGTCCTGAGTTCAATCCCAGCAACCACATGATGGCTCACAACCATGTGTAATGAGATCTGGTGCCCTCTTCTGGCCCACAGCAATACATGCAGGCAGAACACTGTATGCATAATAATAATAAAAAAAAATCTTTCATCTCTACACTGGATCTTCCTGTCTGCTCCTGGGCTTGTAGGAGTACACTTGGCCACGCCCAGCTTTTTGCCAGAATCCAGTTTGAAAGTGCTCTTGCCACTGAGCTAACTCCCCAACTCCTTATTTACCTTCTAATGGGTTCTCAACTCTGTCCTTAAAGATACAGTTAGCTTAGCTGTGCCTGGTGGTACAGGCCTGTCATTGAAGCAATTCAGAAGGCCCAGAGGTCAAAGGATTCCAAGTTCCAAACTTAGGTTGGGCTACAGACTGAGTTCAATGCCAGCCTAGGCAACTTACTGAGACCCTGCCTGGAAGGGCATGATACATACCTATTACTCCTAGTACTTGGGACTTTTTTTTTTTCCTTACAGGGTTTCTTTATGTAGCTTTGGAGGCTGTCCTGGAACTCTTTAGACCAGGCTGGTCTTAAACAACTCACAGAGATCCACCTGCCTCTGCCTCCCGAGTGCTGGGATTAAAGGTGTGCTCCAACATTGACTGGCTATTTGGGACTTTTGGGACAGGAGGATTGATGAGAGTACAAGACCAATCTGGTCTACTGTGTAAGATCCTATCTTAAAAAATGAAAGAAAGAAAATCTGGGTCAGGCAGATGGCTGAAAGAAGAAAACTGCTTGTCTCTTGAGTTCAATCCTCAGAACCCACATAAAAGGCGGAAGGAGAAAACTGACTCTAAGTTGTCCTCTGTTCTTCTGTTCTCCATATTCATTATATGGCATCTACGTGCTGCCTCCCACAATTAGTAATAATAATAAGAGTGAAAATGAAATCTGAAAGGCTAAAAATATAAGAGATAAAAATATTTGTTTTGCTTTGATTTTTCGAGTCAGGGTTTCTCTGTGAAACAGTCCTGGCTGTCCTGGAACTCGCTCTATAGACCAGGCTGATCTCAAACTCATAGAGATCTGCCTGCCTCTGCCTCCCAAGTGTGGGATCAAAGGCGTGCGCCACCACCGCCCCACTCCTGTAGGATTCTTTGCTGATACTGGACAGGGCAGACCCTTAGCTGAAAAGACGGCGCCTAACAAGTTTGGCCATCTGTGTTCACCTTGCGTTTACACCTCTCTCTGCCATTTACTTTTTGTTGTCTTCTTTTTCTTCTTTTTTTTTTTTTTGTTGTTGTTGTTTTTGTTTTTGTTTTTTGTTTTTTCAAGACAGGGTTTTTCTGTGTAGCTTTGGAGGCTGTCCTGGAACTAGCTCTGTAGACCAGGCTGGCCTCGAACTCACAGAGATCTGCCTACCTCTGCCTCCTGAGTGCTGGGATTAAAAGCGTGCGCCACCAACGCCTGGCTGTTGTCTTTCTTTGCATTAAAAGATTATTTGTTGGTGAATGTGTGTATTCATAGAGATCAGAAAACAATTTGGTCTCTCCTTTCACACCTCTTGGGGCCTAACACAGCTCAGACACAGCCAATAGGTGGCAGCATCTCACAGTATGAGGACTGGAAAGGCTGGGACTGAATCCCTAGCTTTTACCTGGGACTGGAAGGAGAGTGGGTCCCCATCAACCTGGGTAGGATACAAAGGAGAGATCCTAGGATGCTCTTATTGACCACATGGGCCTGAGGTGGGCTCAGGACAATGGCAGCTCCTCACCTAGAAACTGGCTAGATATGTAGATCCTTGCCTCCATCCCCCTACCCACAACCAGAAGCCTGATTAACAGTCTGTGGATGGGTGCCGGGCGCTGGTGGCTCACGTTTTTTTAAACCCAGCATTCCGGAGGCAGAGGCAGGCGGATCTCTGTGAGTTGGAGGCCAGTCTGGTCTACAGAGCTAGTTACAAGACAGGCTCCAAAGCAATACAGAGAAACCCTGTCTCAAAAAAAAAAAAAAAAAAAAAAAAAAAAAAAAGGTCTGTGGACAGTTTGACAGGGGTGATTCAGATGTGTGTTGAAGTTTCAGAAGTACCTTTTCTCTCCATCTTCCTCATTCTGGGAATGGGGAAATTTAGACCAGATGCAGGAAGTAACTTGCCACAGAGAAGAGAACTCAGGGGTGTCAGAGGGGGAGGAGGGCTAGGGAGATGACTCAGCAGTTAAGAGAGTTTGTTGCTCTTCCACAGAACCTGAGTTCGGTTCCCAGTACCCACATGGCAGCTCACAACTATCTGTAACTCCAGTTCTAGGGAATTCAAGGTCTTCTCTGGCCTCCTCAAGTACTGCATGCTGCAGGCATGTGCGTGCACACACACACAAAGTTATCAATAATAAGATAAATCTTTTTAAAAAGAAAAAAAAACCAGAATGTGATGGTGGCCTTTAATCCCAGCACTCAGGAGGCAGAGGCAGGTGGTTCTCTGAGAATTCTAGGCCAGCCTGGTCTACAGAGTTCCATGAGAGGCTCCAAAACCACACAGAAAAAACCTTATCTTGAAGAAAGAAAAAAAAAAAAAAAAAAAAAAGGAAGGAGAGCTCAAGTCTGTGTATCTCTCTCCCTAGTTCTGACATTGTTTCCTTGCTTTTTTCATTCCTTTCTTCGCTCACTGGTGCATGAAATTAGCCACTATCACACACCCTGAGCTGCAGTAGACAAGCAAGCCAGTCTCATCGTCTCAGCCCCTTCCTACACATCAGACCCAGCCTAAGTCGGGTCCTCTGCCTCCTGCATTCCTGGCCTCTACCACTAGATGTCAGTAGGATTCATCTGCCCAGTGTGCCAACCAAAAATGTCCCCTCCCCCAAGGCTGTCCCACAAATCGCCTAATTAACACTGGTTAACTGTCCATTTTAAATAAAAAGTTTGTTCCAGGCCTGGAGATGGAACCTAGGGCCTCTTGCCTGCTAGGTAAGTAATCTCCCATGAGCTACATCTCATGGGATGTAACTATTGTCTCAAACACTTTGGCCATATCCTCATACTCTGGATCTGGTGACTACTTACAGCACAAAAATCTCTCTGCTAAACCAGGCAGTGGTGGCCCATGCCTTTAGTCCCAGCACTCAGGAGACAGAAGAGAAGTAGGCAGATCTTTGTGAGTTTGAGACCAGCCTGGTCTACAAGAGCTAGTTCCAGGACAGCCTCCAAAACCACAGAGAAACCCTGTCTGGAAAAACCAAAAATTAAAAAAAATAATCTCTGTCCTGAAGAAGCCCTGGCCCAGACCATCCCTCCTATTGGGAAGACCTCATGCGGTGGTCATAGACCAGAATAGAATCACACAATTCTGCAGCTGTAGAGCATAGAAGATTATAGTAAAACACTTTATCTGATGATGGCTGTAAAACAATGTATCAAGTACAATACCTGAGTATCTTCCAGAACTGGACATTAGAAATGCACTTCTTGGGGCTAGGTTGAGATCAGTCTGTGGAGTGTTTACTCTGTAAGCATGAGGACCTGAGGTCAATCCCCAGAGCCCACATTTAAAGGGTGATGGAAAGTTGGCTTAGTGGTTAAGAGCAACAGCTACTGTTCCAGAGGACTCAGGTTCAATTCGCAACACCCACATGGCTGCTTGCAATTGGCTGTTACTCTAGTCCCAGGAGATCCGAAGCCCTCTTCTGATCTTTGTTGTGCACATATATACATGTGGGCAAAACAGGCATACACATTAGAAATAAATAGTAAAATAAAATAAAGCCAGGCATGGTGGTAAATACCTATAATCCCAGCACTGGGTGGAGACAACCAGCCTAGCCAAGTTCTTGAATCCCAGTGAGAGATTTCGCAGTAAAAACCAAGGTAGAGCTAGCAGGGTATAAGCTGGGCTGCCATCCAGCCAGCAAGCAGCACCCTCCCTGGTTCTTATTTTGCTTCCTTGGCAAGTCCCTTGGTCAGAGGTTATACTGTGTGGAATGGCAAGCAGTCCTCGCTTCAAGAACCTGCTTGGGTTCCTGCCTTGATGGCTCTCAATGATGAACTGTTACCTTAAACCGAAATAAACCCTTTCTTTCCCTCACTTGCTTTGGTTGTTGCTCTGAGTTTTCTTTTGTGAGACAGGGTCTCTATTTGTAGTCCTCACTATCCTGGAACTTGCCATGTAGACCAGGCTGGCCTTGAATTCACAGAGATCCTCTTGCCTCTGCCTCCCAAGTGCTGGGACTAAAAGTGTGTGCCACCATGCCCAGCTTCTTAACTTGCTTTTGATCATGGTATATGTCACAGCCACAGTATGAAACCAGAACAAGCACCCATCATTCATTCATATAATTTGTCAACACCTGTAGGCGTTTGCATTTCAAAGCTCTGGGCAAGTGTGGGGGAGGTACAGGAGGCACACGTGTAGCCTGGCATATCATCACGGACAAAGAAGCTAAACTTTACAGAGGTCAAGTGAATTGCTGGACATCACATGCCTAGGCTGGATTAGAATTCAAGACTCTGGAATTTAGGGCCCAGGCCTATGCCCTATCCTGGCCAGAGTTCTAGGAAAAGAGAACTCACTCAACGGCAGGGCAAGAACACTTTGGCACTGGGGACCCAGAAGGGAAGTGGTAACAGGGACGGACCAGACCTCCTCTCACTCGTTTACAAAAGGGCAAAACCAAGAGAAACCAGCTGGAGCTGCGGCTCTCTGAACCCCAGGCTGAGCCTGTGGATCTGAATACAAAATAGCCAGGAAGGCTCTCCAGGCTCCGGGGGCCCATCCGCTGACAACCGTGAGTAGCTTGCTTTGTTTGTTTGTTTGTTTGTTTTTAGACTCCTCATTCCAGAAAGCCTGTGTTCTAACCTCAGCCCTTCTCTCTGGAGCTACGGGCTGTCTGAGGCAGGGGGATGGATGTCAGACCAGGAACATGGGTCACAGCAATTGATGCTCAAGGCTAACCCTCCTGAGGCAGGACTTTTCCTTGTTGCTCACCACAATAATAAAACCCAACTACTTAGGTGACTTTTCTTGGGGAGTTATTCTATTTACCCAGAAACAGAAAGCCACGCTAGACCAAAGAAATTTTCCTTTTAGACCAGTTTAGAGAACTGATGAGTTATATATCGGGGTTGTTTGCAGGAACATGGGTGGCTCGGGCAACCATATCATCAAAAAGCCCACCCCAGCTTGGTGACAAGTGCTCAAAGCACCTCCCAAGACTACAAGGGGCGGGGCAGGAGCAAGGGAGTGGCTGGAATGTCAGGTGAGGGTCTAATGACTGCCACACAAGGAGATTGGTAGCAGGCCTGATCTTTTGCAGGCCTTTCGTAGATAACCACAGCTGTAGAGAAAGGACCACACACGCCCAGGAAACAGAATTCCACAGCACAGACAGATCTCTGTGGGCTGGGCTCTGTCCAAGGCCTCGCCAAGGTTTCCTTTATTAGATGCTGACAACACAAATACTCAGTGTCTGTGGTAAATTATGCTACCATATCGCCTGTTTGGCAGAAGGAGGCTATGTGCCACTTCCCCGAAGTCCCAGGGGCATCACTTGAGAACACTGACTTGAAGCAGAAATTTTGGCTTCCTAGCTTACTCTTTAACTACCATAGCAGATGGGGAAATTTGAAAAGGGCCCCAGGAGACTAAGGTCTTTGGGCTCACCCAGGCAATCCAGAGCCTTGTTTTATAGAAGAAAAAACCCAAAACAATACAAAAAGCCGAGGTGCAATGAGGTGATTGATTGAAGGCACTGGACCAGAGACTCTGCTCCCATAGAGGTCACTGGGGGAAGAGATGTAGAGTGGGGGCCCTGAGATGGAGACCCCTGTAGAACCCTATCTCCACTGCTCTGCCCCTCAGCTTTCTCTTCTGTACAGAACAGTTCCAAGAGTGTCACCCTCAGGCTTGTGGTAAAGGCACAGACGGATGGCATTGCTTGGAAATAGACAACTGCACTGAGCGAATGAGAGCTTGCCCTTGCCCACTCCCCCATGCTGTGGGTTAGAAATGAGAATAGGAGGCACCAGCTCCTTCCTCAGAATAGGAATTTGCCTCAAGGGAGCTGCATTATGGTCATGAAAGCCAGGACAGGGCAGAAGGTCTGGTGACAGATTCAGGAAGTTTGAGGACGTCCCAGTTCTGGGACTGCTATGGCTCAAGGGAGCTTGCTTGCTTCCTAACCTGCATGGGTCCATGTGACTCTCCACCAATGAGGTCATCCTTCCCCAGACTCCTCCATTAAGCTGGCAAAATGGCCACCTCCCATCTCCTCCTGTCTTCTTTGTGTGTGCACGCACCTGTGTGGGTGTGCTTGTGGAAGCTAGGGAGGTTGGTGTTGGGAATCTTCTGTTGATCTCCATGTTATTTTTTAAGACCAGTTCTCACTGAATCTGGGACTCACTGGTTCAGCTAGTCTGGCTGGCTGGTGAGTCCTAGGAATCCTCCTGTCTCCCCCTTACCGTGCTGGGATTAAAGGCACTGTGCCAGGTTTTTCATGCGGGCTCTGAAAACTCCAAGGAAAGCCCTGATGCTTGCACAGCAAACGTTCTAAAGGCCAGGTGAGCTGTGTCCTCATCCCTTCCACTCTTGTTACTCTTACTGCGTGTTCTCAGGGGGCCTGAACCTTGCATTTATTCTGATGGAATTACATGCAATAGAGCTCTGCGCCTCATCCTGCCAAGCCTGTAGGAATTGACCCACAGGTCACATACAGAGCTTCATTCCAATCAGAGATATCTATTATCCCAGTGCCTGTGATTCCCTGCTTGCTCCAGCCTTATTGTGTCCCTGGAAGAGCTGGAGACCCAGTTTCTTTGTCAAGACTTAAGACATTGTCCTTACTGTTTGAATTTACGGTGAACTACCCAACACTCGCCTTCCCCCAAACTCTCCAGGGATCTGAGCCCAGCCCCCCCAGAATCGTCCTTTTCAAGACTGGGTTTTCCTGTGTAGCTGGCACTCACTCTGTAGATCAGGGTGTCCTTGAATTTACAGAAATCCACCTGTCTCTGCCTCTCCAGTACTGGGATTAAAGGCTTTAGCCACTACCATTGGTTTGTGATTGGCCTGTGATTGCTTTCTAGTCCAAGAGCTAAACAGAAGCCTCTGTTTAGCTTAGAAACAGAAGCTCTTTCCTCTCACCCACCTGGGCATTGGCTCCCTCTCCCTGAGCAGGGTTCTCACAAAGGCCTAGGAGTGCTGTCTTCCAGCAGCTTCTGCTTCTACACCAAATGATTGATTGCGAAAAGCCTCTCGGGCAGGAGACTCACAGGCTATCTGCTGAGAGCTGAGAGCCATATCTTACAGATAAGGAGAGCAAGACTCAGCAGCGGCACAGACTTGCACAATGTCACGCGGTCAAGGCAGTGGGGAGCAGGCGGGAGTAGAAGGCGCCTTGTCTTGTGACAGACCCAAGCCACCCGCCCTGACTAGCTAGGTGACACTGAGTGATTAGCATCACTTCCTGAATCTCTGTGCTTTCAGTGACACCAATGCAGCCCATGGTTTCCCAGCCTGCCTCACACACATGCCTGTTCATGCCTTAAATCCATCAGTGGCCTCCCCTTGGGTGGTCTCCACACTGACTCGTGGCAACTCACACTTGTAAGGTGCAAAGCCCACCCAGATTTTAAAAATACCCTAGGTGGTGGGCGGAGTCATTGCTCAAATCAAGACCTCATAGTTTCTAGACCCAGAGTCACAAGCAGCAGGAATGGTGGCACAGGCCTGTGATCCCAGCACTCAGGAGGGGAAGGCAGGAAGACCAGAAGTTCAATCATCCAGACTCGCATAGAGAGCTCAAGGCCGGTCAGGGCTACATGTGAAAGAGGCTCTCTCAAAACAACCAGGCCAGGCTTAGCCAAGCCAAACAGGTGGGCAGGGTAGAGAATCCCCCATAGGCGTGAAGGCGCAGTTCAGGTCACCACTGACACAGAACTGTCACTTGCAGAGCATGTTTCAGATGCCACAGAACATGTAGCCTGGGAGCCTGACTACAGGGAGAGAGGAGCATATTATATTGTGTGTTGGGCCCTGAGGTTCCAACCACAAACCCAGGGGATTCCTCATTCCCTAGCAGTCTCTCCACGGGATTTCCCTCCCTGTGCTGGTGGCTGTCACTGGCATTGTCTTATGCCTTCACACCCTGATCCTATGAGAGAGTTGGGGTCTAGAGGGTAACTGCTTTGCCAAGCCCAAAGTAGGAACCCAGCAAAGTCAGGGCAATTGGCCATGGCTTCTGTGTCTGGAAGCCCTTCTCTCAGCACAGCCCAGAAAACATGCCTCCCCCAAGTGGTGGAGTCCTTAAATGCTATCAAGAAAGACAGACAAGCTAGGCTGGGCTACAATGGATTTAGCGTCCCACCCCACCCCGGGGACTGCTGGGGTTCTATGAGGAGAGGGTGTTGGTGGGACCTCACTCAAAAGTGACTTTATAGGTTTAGTGTCCTATAAGTTTTGTGGCTTCTCTTCCCCCCTATTTCCCTACAACCTTCTCCCACTGCCCAGCGGGTAGCCTTGAACCTATGGCACCCAGAGCCTCCCACTCAAACCACTTCTGCCCTGCCACAGTGATTCCCATGGCTCCCTAGGGGTTGTGCCCTGCCTTAGTTCCTCTTTGAGAACCACAGGTGCATTCACAGTGGTGCTTCTGTGTGAATACAGTTGAGTCCTTCCTGTGTGTCACCCGGTGGATGTGTTTGGGTACTGGGTGGGGGGGAGTTTGGGGGACCTATGGAGAACAGTTCAACACATCTAGAAGATGTTGGAGATGTAGGATTGCAATTTACTAGAGGCGTATGACAGAGGTGTGATTTGGACAGATATTGGTCAGGAGCATCCACACCCCAAAAGCAAGAAGAAAGGGTTCGTAGACTAAGCTAGACAAAGGTGGAGAACAACCAACCAGAATATATCTGGCCTTTCTAAAAAACTAAGAGCATGTCAAAGATCAGTCAAGGGACAGTCTGGGTGTCAGTGGCCAGAGTGGCAGAACAAATGTTTGGCTGTTTTGGTTTGTGACATACTGTATAGCCCAGGCCAACCTAGAATTCAAGATCCTCTTGCCTCCATCTTCCGAGTGCTGGAAGTACAAGCCTGTGCCACGACTCCTAGCTTTGGCAAACTTTTTTTTTTTTTTTAATGAGAGCTGGAGTGATGGCTCAGTGGTTAAGAGCAATAGCTACTCTTCTAGATGACCCAAGTTTAATTCCCAGTTCTATACCCACATGGCTTTTCAAACAATCTGTAGGGGAATCTGATGCCCTCTCTGGCTTCTGTGTGCACCCGGCATGAACATGATGTACAGAAAAGTGTTCAGGCAAAAACCTGTACAGAAGATAGAAATGTCAGACAGATCTACTGGAGCTAGAGTTTTTGGCAGGTGTGAGCCACCCAACATGAGTATGGGGACCTTGGGTCCTCTGCAAGAGCTGCAAACACTCTTAACAGATGAGCACTTCTCCAGCCCTCAATTTTTTTTTTTTTTTTTGAAGGAATAAATTAGGGGCTTCAGGGATGGCTCAGTGAGCAAAGTGCTTGTCCTTGCTGGGAGATGAGGACAATGTGAGTTTGGAAGCCCAGTACTCACAGAACTGTCAAGTGTGGTGCCTCATAACTGTAACATCAATGCTAGGTTTCAGAGATTATAGTCAGCTCATTGGCCAGCCAGTCTCTCTGAAACTTCCAGCACGGGGTTCATTGAAGATGGCGAGTGATAGAGAAAGACACCTCAGGGCTATACACATGTATACACGTATGTATATGCAACACATAAAGAGAATAAAAAAA